TCTGAGGCCCTGCTGGCCCAGCCCTGGCTTCTAAATCCCTTAGACAGGCAGATCAAACAGTGGAAGCCTGAGTTGAAAGGGCACAAGCACATGTCATAGTTGGGTGACCCGAAGAGACCTTTCTTCTGTGTCTTTGTGGTTTCTAGCATCCCATCTCTGCTCAGTACCTCATAGGTCGGGGATGATCTCAACCAGGGCTAGATACACAGTGAGGGATCTGGTAAGTCTTCTCTCTTAGGCTTGTACATAAATATTGCTTACTGATGTCTCCTCCCTAGGGGCTTTTTTTTTTTTTTTCTGTTAACATGGGAGGACAGGGCTGGAGCACAGGCAAGCTGCACATGGATCTTCCCACATGAGAACTTAAAACAACAAACAAACAACAACCCTAGAGATTCTACTGGACTTCGCTGGTGGGACCTTCATTTTGGTCCATGGTTAAAAAAAAAAAAAAAGAGCACACACTGAAAATTGCAAGTGGATGGAGAGAGAATGGTCCACTTCAGGAATTCACACCTGGGCAGAATCCTCTGAAGGCTTTGCTTTCTTTATGCACGCAGCTGCTCCTGGCTGTCTTCCGGTTCCTAACGCAGCACCCATGCAATCATCTTGGTGGAAGTCGCTGGCTTATTTTCACCTCTGCTTCCTGTCTCTGCTGTCGGCACCAGCACGTGAGAGTTCACTCTTCTTATGACCGGTGTTTTTTGAAGAGAGTTTGCAGCATGAACTTCAGCTTTTGTGGTGTGCCTCACTCAAGCCTCAAGGGCTTCTAATGTCTCAGTTAGTAGGGATTTTAGAGGTTCAATCTAGAGCCCATGTCAAGTCAAAAAGAAGAGAAGAGTTACTCAGCTGAGATAGAATTAATTTTAAGTTTTACAGAAACCATAATGTTCTCCCCATAAAAATTTGAATTTTCTTTTATGCTTATCAAGAGACAATGAGTAGCTTCATTTTGAGAAGATGATCATTTCCTCAAAGCAGAGAATGGCCAAATTTTGTTTTACATTTATTAATTTTTCTGCAAATTCACCATGCCTGATGAGACTCAATTAGTCATTTTCTCTGGACTGGTGTTGGTCAACAGTATTCCCAACTTTCTGATGAAAAGTGTCCTCTTTGCATACTAAGCCTTCAGCCTCCCACACCTGCCTAACTCGTTTTATTCCCGAGTGGCTGGTCTTGCAAGTGATTGCTGTGATTCAGTTTGAGTGAAAGAATTGCTCATTTCCAGGCCACGATAATTATTGTATAAGATTTAGATCATTCTCTACAAATGAGAGCAAATTACCCATCTGTGATGAAGATAATGGGCAAGAGAGGCTCTTTGCTCTCTCTCCGTTTGCTCTCATCACACTCTCTCCTCACTTCGTGCTCTGCAAATGAGAGACAGTATCCTCACAAGTTTTTTTTTTTTTTTCTGAATTGAAGTTTCATATGGCACAGACTATGGAGTGATAGTGGCTATTTGGCTGAATAAGCCTTTTCCCGTATTATAATGAAAGTATTATTAATTTATTCCATTTAAAATTGGAATTCTCTGGACTTTATTCAAGCATCACATGATTGTCAGTGGATATATTTGTCTCTACTTCATTGTTCTGAGCAAATAAGTTAAGGGAGGAAGATTGATTTTGGCTCATGGTCTCATAGACTTTGTTAGCATTCAGCTCGTTCCATTATTGTTGGGACTATAGTGAGAGAAAACCTTGTAGTGTGCGTGTGCGTGTGTGTGCGAGAGAGAGAGAGAGAGAGAGAGAGAGAGAGAGAGAGAGAGAGAGAGAGAGAGATAATCCCTTCAAAGACATGTTCCTAGTGGCCCTGAACTCTGATCAGGCCACACTATGCACAGTCTCTACCACTTCCTATAGTCCATTCACTTATGACTATCCCAATGGACTAACCCGCATGATCCAATCATTCCCCCAAAGCTTCTGCTCTGAGCCTTGCACTGAAGACAAAGCCTTCAATGTAAGAGCCCCCTCTGAGGACACCATAGCAGACCACTCCACTCAGTAACTCCGAGTAAGTAAAAATCAATAAAAGATGTGTGCTTCTGGAAAAAAAAATTGCATGCAAATGTGAAGTAGCTTTCCTAACACCATGGAGAAAGAGAGAGCTTCAGAGGATGGCAGAGATGTGAACAGAGTTTTCATTTCTAGGTGGCAAGGTCTCGGCCTGTCTGAAGAACATGACTCACAAATGCTGAAATCATTTTAATATAAGATTTCAGTGCTTTTGGCCACAATGTAAGCACAAACCAGTAGTTTCATTCAGTAATTAAAATCCAAGGAAGCCATTCAACCGATTACTTTCATTTAACATCTGCAAAATGGTAGGTTTTGTGGAAAATGGACAAGCCAATTCCCCGCTCTGCTGTTCTCTGAAAATTAGTTACACACGTAGCCATTATAAATAATTGTGAGTTTGAACTGTAGTCTCAAGTTATGATGGCTGTCTTGTTTTCCTTTGCTTATAATGACCTTGAATCTCACTCCAGTTAAATAAAAAGCATTAAATAGTATGCAGAATGACTTCCTTCATTTATTTTGTTGCTAAATAGTTAGTGACCTGGAAGAGAGATGACTTACTATATCTTTTATACTGTCATCAGTGTGGGATTGATGGTCTGTTTTAAATAAATAAATTTTTTATCACGCTTTAGTGAAGGCATCCTAACATGTTTTAATAGCCCAATTACGACCTGGATGCTCTTAGGCTTTGCTCTATTTGAATTTTCCCTCAGTAGGATACAAACTAAATGGCTTGGATGGCTACTGAGACTCACTGAACTTTGCATCTGTCATGGGGCCTGATGCCTTGTTCTTCCATGGAAGTGATGGAAGAGGATCTGGTGAGATAAGGTACAGGAAGCTCCCAACTCACCAGCTGAATGAGAACGATGTGCTCTTACAGCACCCACTTGCTCTCCTCCTGAAGCCCACAGAAGGTATTTTCTAGGACTCCTTTCTTGTGATTTTCAACTTTCAGTAGAAAAGTTGAACAGAGACTGATAATGACTTTTAAAGTTCTCAGTCAGGGGCTGATTAGAAGATAGAAAAGGTGTTTGCCTCTGAGCCTGATGTCCTCAGCTCACATGGTGGAAGGAGACTCCCGAAAGTTGTCCTCTGACCTCCACACTATGACACAAGTGTTTGTGTGTACATGCATACCCCTCTCCCCCATCACATACACACATGCATACTCTTAAAAAAATCTCTGCCATCTAGGAATGTGGTAATGGGTACTGGCAGAGTCTCCTGCCTTCATTCTTTTGGAATTTGCACCACTGAATTCTCTTCCCTTGTGTCCTACAAGTCCTCATCTGGTAGAAGCCTGTAAAGGACTCATCTATTATAAAACAAGCAAGCCCATCCCTCCGGCCAGGCACTCAGACCTTCAAACACCATCTGGGACCTTCTTAGTGGTGGAAAGAGCATGGTCACAACATTGTGGAAAGTAGTCATCTCGTTAATTTCTTCCCCCTGGCTCCTGAGAACATTCTTGGAGTCATTGAAGCTGATCCTCGAGGTTTCTAACGCAGACCGCAGCCCAGCATCCTCTTCTTTGAGTGCATCATTAGCCTCCAATTAGATGAATGATGCCCTTGCAAGGAGACTTTTGATGATGTCCGGCATAAAACTGTCCTCTTTGAGGCCCTGCCTGTGGCCCTCAAATATATGTAAATCCACTGTTGTCCCTTATGTAAGCCAGGTCTCAAAACTGGTCAGAGTTTACAGCTGTTTGAGGTAGAACTATCTCTGATCATTTAAGCCGTGTGGGAGGGATTTATTTTGCTAGCCAAAGCAAGTGGTGTTTACCTGTGTACAGATGGACTCAAAGAAACAGTCAGGTTTCTTGCTCAGAGCTGACTACGTTATACTAAGATGAAGCAAAGGAGAATGGCATCTGTATGGTTTCCCAAGCAGAAAAGGAATAATTAAACGTTACAGGAACCTCTTCCTATCTCCGTTCATTACCAAGCATTGTTTTAGTGCCTGACCCTCCCACCCTTGCCCATCCTTATCTGCGATAAAGACAATGACCTTGAAGAGTCTTTAGTTTAGTCGTGATTAAAATGCATCCTATCTATAAGGACTTGTGCGGAAAATAAATATGTTTCAAATATAGTGAGCAAAATGGGAGGAAGACGCTGTAGCCTTTTAAATTAACATTATAATAATTTTAAAATTAATGAAGCCTGTCTCCTGGCATCCTGATGAGGCTCATGAGTAATTGTGATCCATTTTTATTAGAGTAAAACTTTTAGGGATAATTCTTACCCAATTTATTTAAAAAGGGTCTTGGCTGGGAATGTGGTTCCACTTAATTAGCATCTAACTTGCTGTCTTGATGAAACAGAAAGGATGCCTGTGCCTTCTCCCATTCCCCTGGTCTTCCTGCTTTGGTCTGTTAAGCTGTGCTGAGGACCACCTCCTGATTTGGATCAATCTTTGTGTCGTTGTTCCTTGGCCCTTCTTATCATTGCTGTCACGAAGCATTTTGAAGGAACCACTCCCTTCACCAGAAGCCCCGTTAGCTGTGAAGAGTGACTGATTGAGTTATGTTTAAAGGATATTAAATGCCAATGACAAAACCAAGCAGGGTGTGAGCTGGTAATCAGTCCTGGCCAGAAGGGAGAGAGAGAGTGTGATGGCAGGACAGTGGCATGTTTGGAGTTGTGGCTGGATGGACACTCATCGGATGCAAGAAGATAAACGGGGAGGGGGGGGGATAAAATGTGGGTAAGGATGACCCACAGCTTTGAAGCCGCCAAAGCAGCATTCTTAACCCAGACTAAGTACAGTGCAGGAGACTTATGATTTAGTTACCAAACTACTAAACGTCCTTTACGAGAGAGGAGGCTTCCCGAGAGACAATTAACTTGTAGATTCACAAGATGTTCTAAGGCGAGGGGGTGTGAGCCAAAGAAGCCGAGGCAACAAGCACCGGGGCCCCACCCATGAGCAAGGGTATATAAAAGCCCGGGAGCCTGGAGTGGCATTCACAGTTCGGCTAACTTCAAGGAGACACTGCCGCCTTCTCTCTGCCACCATGTCTTTCAACTGCTCCACAAGAAATTGCTCTTCCAGGCCAGTCGGAGGACGGTACACCGTCCCAGCCGGTCCAGTCGCCACAGCTTCAGCCCGCGATGCAGACTGCCTGAGTGGCATCTACTTGCCCAGTTCCTTCCAGACTGGTTCCTGGCTCCTGGACCATTGTCAGGAGTCATGCTGTGAGCCCACGGTCTGCCAGCCAACATGCTACCAGAGAACTTCTTGTATCTCCACCCCTGTCCAGGTAACTTGCAATCGACAGACTACCTGTGTCTCCAATCCCTGCTCAACTCCCTGTAGCCGGCCACTCACTTTTGTGTCCAGTGGCTGTCAGTCTTTGGGAGGCATTTCCAGCTCTTGCCAACCCGTGGGAGGCATCTCTACCACTTGCCAACCCGTGGGAGGCATCTCTACTGCCTGCCAACCCGTGGGAGGCATCTCGACTGTCTGCCAACCAGTGGGAGGCATCTCTACTGTCTGCCAACCAACCTGTGGAGTCACCAGGACATACCAGCAGTCCTGTTCATCCAGCTACCGAAGAACTTGCTAAGTGCGTAGGAGCCCGTGTTCCAGGGGAGTCTCCATGTTCTGCCAGCTGCGTTTCCAGGATCTTCCTGTATGCCTGACTACTTCATCACTGACCGTTATTGACTGCCCAGTTGCTGGCTGCTAGCTACGCACGGGCTGCCTTTGACACTCTAAAATGTTCCTTACCAGCACAGATTAACTTGAAGGTTTGATTTCTGGTGCTGTGTAAGCTTCTTGATGTTTCCAAAGGCTTTGCCACCCTCAGTCCAATCTGAGGTCTCGTGATGCTTCCAGAGGCTCTAATGCCAACAGCGCACGCCTTCACCTTGCTCCTGTATCTCCTGGCTTCTGCTTCTGTGTCTCTAATAAAAGGGAGCTTGTCGCTCTGTGTATTTCTCAATAAACTTGCATTAGTTGGCATTGCAACCACATGTCTGAGCCACGTTTTTTATTTGTGAGGTTTTGTTATTTGTGAATAATCCTTCACGGATCAGGGTCTGACTTTTTTCCTTTCTGAGCACAGAGGACGGGCATAGAGATCGTGTTCCCAAGCAAGCCAGAAATCACATTGTGTTTTCTTGTTAGGAGAATGTGGGTAAGTAAGGGCAGTGGTGAAACACTATGAGATTTGACAACTAATTTGACCTCTATAATTTTCTGAACATTTGAGGGGTCCACAGAACAGCTTCCATGGAGGTAACAGATGAGCTGTTAAGGAAGCAAAGGAGTTCAGAGTTGCCCAGTGAAGGAAGCAGTAGAGCAGAGGACCAGAGTTCATGCTTTCCTAATCAAAAGATCAAAAGACCTAAGTGGTAACCTTTGAAATGACCCCTCCATGATCAGCTGGGCTGGAGGGAGAATGAAGAAGGAAGTCTAGTTGATTCTAGACCTCGGGAATCACTGTATCCAAAGAACCAAGCCTAGCTATAACCTCCCGTCATTCTCTGGGACCAATCTGTGGTCCCAGACATGCTTAATCAATGGTATTTAGTATATCTTGCAAAAGAGACTTAAGAAAAACTTGAGGAACATTGTTTTATCTCTTAATAATTTTTTCTTTTGTGCTTGTATGGTTGTAAAGACCGAAACAAAAGATCCTTGTGTCTGTTAGCCAAATACTCTACCTCTGAGGCTCAACTCCAGCTCTGGTATTGGTTTGTTTTAACCCTCATAACCTGGCTTCTTGCTTGCTCTTTCCTGCAATCCATATGCCAATGAACCCAGCCATCTGGATGGGTGGGAAGTCCATGTGCCAGCTTCTTTTGCCTTTCAGGGAAATGTGAGAGCTAGCTACCAGCAGGGCTGCTCTCGCCCTTCTCATCTGTCATGTCCAGAAGCACATCTCAATATGTTCTCTTCAGAATTGCTCCGACAGACACAGACATGAACAATCATTAGCTAAAATAGAGACATATGCAGCCTGAGCACTGGGCATGGCAGATGCCTTTTCTCCTAGCAAGAGTTGCTTTGTGGAGGCTCCGCGCATCATTCTCTGTTGTCGGTGCTAAGTGTTTTTCTTATTTTACCAATGGCTTTTCAGAGGCAAAAACGTATAGACGATTTCTATATAGATGCAGTATTTTCAATTTCTCCCTCTGCTGACTCTTCCTCTGATGTCCCCTCTATCAAAAAATGTTGGATATGACTCGCATTCATCTTTCACAAAAGCAAGACATGGCTTTTGCTGCATGCTCATCCCTGTCTTTTCTTTTTAAAAGAATTACCCTGACTTTCCAAAATGTCCCGGTTTGTCCTAAAATACAGATCACTGTGTGTGTGTTTGTGTGTGTGTGTGTGTGTGTGTGTGTGTGTGTGTGTCTAAATGGACCTTCTGTTTCAGTTAATGTGACTCTCAAATACTGTTTCTCTTATTCCATTCACATATGATTTGGAAAATACAGAGGTTGATAGATAATTTTTTAAAATTTTTTATTTTATTTTACTTTTCTTTCTTTCTGCTTTCTAGGTTCCAATGAATATATGTCTTCTCTTTTTATTTATGTGACTAATAAATACTTATAAATAAGAGTGGTGTATTCATAATACATATTGAGATAGGTGTGATAGTCTGATATTGCTTGGCCTGTTCGTTGTCCTATGAACATTCAAGTATATTGGAGCAATCTTGCCAAGCTGTTGCTGACCTTCATTTCTGTTTGGAGAATTATTATTATTGCTTTTGTTATTATAACACTTCTATTTATACTAGAACTTTGAAAGTTCTCACCATCCTTTGCTTTATTACATAGTAAATTTTAAGTTTGTCTTGGAGAACAATCTTAAAGATAGAGATGTGATGATTCTTAGCCTAAGGCCTGGAAATGCAATTTGTATCCAACATTCCATCACTGTGGGAAGTGCCGCTTTTGCTGGTCTGTGTGGGTCTGCTTACCTCCTCAGCCCTTAGCTCACTTGGGAACCAGAAGCAATGATAGCATCTCCTGTCTCTGTTTTCAGGAAGAGTCTAAAATAATATGTGCTGGTTTCAAGGGGGCCATCTATCCTTTGATACAGAAATTCACTGAGCTGTCTTTTGTTGTGGGGAGTTGGGTGTTTTTGCTCTCTCTCTCTCTCTCTCTCTCTCTCTCTCTCTCTCTCTCTCTCTCTCTCTCTCTCT